TACCTCTCCTCCTTCTCTTCCTTCTCTTTCTTGATGTATTCCTTCTTCTTATGTCTCTCTAGTCTACGGTCTAGACGATTAATTAATTGCGATAATGCGATTAAAGAAGTTGCCCAGCCTCCTTCGCGATAAGCTTTTAAGATTTCCAACGTTGATATACAGTAAGAGGTTCTCTACCTATCGTTCTTATCTTTTCTGTCTTCTTCTTCTTCTTCCTCTTCGTCTTGTTCATAATTGAACGATCGAAAAGTAAATAAGCATCTTTATCTCATAGTATACAAAATGAAAACATTTCAAAATCGAAAACTCATCTCAACATTTATAATTCGAAATAAAAATAAGAATGTAATCTTTCTACCCTAAATAATTAAACTTATGATTAATAGAATTAATTGTTTATAGAAGATAAATATTTGATTTTATATTTAATTATATTTATTGTTGGAATAAATAACTACAGTCCTAAATAACTAAACCATCTGACGAGAAATCTAATTACCAACCATGAATAATTTTATAAATAGAAAAATGTCAATGAAATAAATTAAATTTGCGACACATTACATGATATTACGTATTTTTCAAATAATTTCGAATTATAATTTGAAATGATCCATTGACTCTATTTAATTATTATCTCAATGGCTTCGTTAGAAATCTTGGAAGGGAAAATCACGAAAAGTAGAGATATCTGTTGAAAGATATAAAGGGTGTAGTAGCATCCCTTGAAAGCAAATAAGCAAATAAGGAACTAAATGCGCAAGCAAAAAGCCTTCAACGCACTAGAATATTCTCATTTTGTCGTAATACTTTAGTAGAATTTAATCGAGACAGCAATTGTTTCCAATTAACAATTATGAAAGTACTTTCGCCAACCTTTAAGCCGCTTTGAAGCATCGCCAATGTAAGAAGAGAAGAAGAAGCCGTTCATAATACCACCAACTTGTTTGATTTATAATCTTCTACTAGATAACCGAACAACAAAGTTTCCACGAATCCTTAAAAACGTGATTCGATATCAAAATCGTTCAATTAAATCGCGTAATTAAGCACAAAAAATAACATTTTCTTTTTAAGATTTTTTCGATCAAAAGTATTTCAAAGGGAACGAACGAACATATTTTTGTTTCTTTTCTCTCTCTTTCTCTCTCTCTCTCTCTCTCTCTTTTTATTTTCTCGTTTATTACGAAAGCTTAGAACTAAAAAAGAGGATAATTGTATCCACTAATTGTAAGTACTTTTTGCTTTCAGCCACGTTTCCAAGAGGTCTTAATAATAACGCACACGTGTACTATAGCAAGCAAGAGAAGGAAGATTCGGATCGATAACACTTCCATTATTATAACACGCTTTCTTCGTGTCAAAGAGAAACTTGCCGTTTTCTCCGAGTACTCGTTTTCCTTCTACATTAAAGAAGAAAAAGAGGAAAAAAGAGAAAGAGAAGAAGAAAGAGAAAGAAACTGATAAAAATCCAACGATTATATGACTCGCGTCGAGTCATAAAAGAATGATTCATTGAAAGAGTGATTAATACAAGAAACGAGAACAAGAACAACATAAAACAAAACAAAAATAACCTAACTCTTTAACTTAATAATAAAAGATGAGAAATATCTATTAAGTAACTTCCGTTATTTAGTATCACTGGTAAATAAGGAAGAAAGAAAGCTGAATAAAAACATAAAGAAGAGATAAAGATTATTTTCATCGAGTATCCGATAGACTCGTGTAACGATTATTATCTTTTATCTAGAAGAACACGAAGCGAGAAAAAAAAAAGAAAGCAGGGATTTTCCCTCAGACAGAAAAAAAGAAATATACAGAAAAAGATATCGATGTTGTTCCATTGGAAAAATGATAAAAAGAAAAAACATTAAAAGAAAAGGAATTGATGATGAATTAATAATCGTCCACCATTTGATTTTTCAACGTCCTATTTAT